TAAATATACAGTCCCGAATAAACAGTCCCGAATAAAAGAATATTACAGTCCAAATAATACAGTCCAAATAATGTACAAATTCCTAATTAATTAACAAATTAACTAAGAAAGTTGTAAAACTAGCGTGCAAGCCAGGGACTGCCTTGCTTCTGATGAATGATGCATGTTTGGGCTGCCTTGCGCGGAAATCCACTAGGATGCCCCAATTAGCCTCTGTTTTGTAGTTATCCTTGGAAAGCGTGCCAAGCGTCGGAAGATCACTGATTCTTGATTTGCTGCAACAGAGAGCAGGAAATGGGCATAGCAATGTATTTTCACAAATATATGCATGCCTCGATCCTCGTGCCACCAATCACGCATATCGAGGCATGATGGCCGAGGAACCGAACTTGCACAATTTAATATAGGATGAATGCACATGAAAACACAACTAAAACCTAACTCCATCATGGATAATCCGGAATGTCGGTGACTGGGGAATTGAGACACGTTTCGTCACTCGGAGTACGAAAAGCGCCTCGTTTCCCGTGTCCGGGCTAACTCCTATCCCGAACACGATGCAATATGCATGACATACATGAAATACAACTAAGATACAATCCTAACATACACAATGTTATGGAATGGCATACACGCTATACGAGGTAATATACAACCGAGCATACACAATGCTATGGATGAAATGGCATACGCAATGCAATAATGGGCTTACACCAACATGAGAGAGCCTCAGCCACACTCACATAGGAGGCCATCAGATGAAAACAAGACGACTCGAAATGCGTGCACGCGTGCACGCAAACCGAGGATCGACCCTCAGGCACTGAAATGCCACTCTAGTGAGACATGGCAAAGACATGGAATATAATATGCAAACATGCAAAAATCAGTAGCAAAAAGAGGGGCAAAACAGCCCCGAAACAAGGCGAAATAACACCCGATGCATGGAATTTCTCCCGAAATGTAAAACTAGGTACATGAAATGGCTTACAGCTATACAAAGCATGCAAAATTGGTACATGGAATGAAAAGACAGAAGCAAGGCAGCCCCAAAATAAGCATTTTTACAGTTCAAACCATGGCCAAACAACAAACAAAAATAAGGAAAAACTAGCATGCAAAAATGGCCCTAACTGCGAGACAAAGAAGCAACTCACAGCTTCTGTCCCCAAACAGATTAGGGCCCTTCAACAGAGTTGAAGAGGGGCCCAAAACATGATCTTTTACAGTTCTGAAAATAGCCCAAAAACAAACACAGGTATGGCTATGCTCTCATGTAAAAAATGGGCCAAAAGATGGATAAAGAAGCAAGTGAAGGTTGCTGGCCTTAAACACAAAGGGGCCCTTCAACAACATTGAAGAGAGGCCAAAAATAATGCATTTTACAGTTGATGGCCGGATCCAAAACAGTATGCAAATATGTCCAAAATGCTATGCAAAATAAGGCCTAAAAGAGAGATATAACATGAGGTGTATAAAATATGCCTCAAACCATGAAAGGCCCTTAATGAAACATGAAGAATGGACCAAAATAAAACTATTTTTAGTTCTGAAAAGAGACCAAAAACAGAAGCACAATGGGCTGCCAAAGCATGCAAAAATGGGGACCAAAGGGGGGTATAATGACAAGTGGCACATGGAGGTTCCAAACAGTGATGAGCCCTTCTTTAATATTGAAGAGGGGCTCAAAATAAGCCTATTTACAGTTTACATTATGCTCCAAAACAGATCACATATAGGCCAAAAATACTATGCAAGATTATGGCATACAAGATAGATAATGAAGAAAGTGCAAGATGGGGACCTCAAACAGTGAGAGGCCCTTAAGCAAAAGTGAAAAAGAGCTCAAAATAAGGTCACTTTCAGTTAGGACCGGAGCTCAAAACAGTAAGCATATATGGCTAAGAAATGATACAAGAATGAGCCAAAAAAATGGGAAATGGTACTTACCCTTGAAGACAAGTCTTTGGTTGCTTCTTGGCTTGAGAAGTGATGCCTCCTAGCTGCTGGAAAGCTCCCCAAGTTGCTGGAAATGGAGTGGTGGTGGTGATGCTAGGTGGTGATGAAGAAAAGGTGGTAGAACTTCGATGCTTTTGCTTGAAAGAGAGAGATGGAGGGAGATTTGGATACCAAAGCTTGAAGGTGATTTCTTCCAACCCTTAAGACCAATGCTAGAGGCTGGTTATATGGACCAAGGAGAGGGAGAAATGGAGGGGAAAAGGTGGGGGAAAAGGAGCCAAGTTTTCCCCCAAAAGTTGTCCCCCGGATACAGATCTTTTGGGGGGAAAACAGCTATACAGCTGTAAAGTACACACTGCAAGGATCATGGCCGGCCAGGTTTTGGAGCTGCAGGTGGCCGGCCGGCTACCTCACATGGCCAGCCGGCCAAGGGTCAAAAAGGTCAAGAAGATTTAATGGCTGGCCACCACAGATAGGTGTCCTCCCAGGTGTCCTCAACACAACCATGTGGTTCAAAATTGGAAACAGTGAAACAAGAGAGAGAACAAGCCATTTTTAAGAAGGGTTCAAAAGGGTCAAGTGGAATTACTG